GTGCGCGCGGCGCGCCTAACTAGCGGCTGATGCACATTTTACGCATTTGGAGAGGTGGGCTGGATGCTTTGCCTTTACTGGAAGATGGTCCACTTAACGCACGGGTGTAGACTACATATTAATGACAAATGAATGAAAATTAAATTGTGAGTTTTTACTTCATATTTTAGAAATAAAAATGACGGGGGAACACATTTATGACGTCTTTTTAAACTAAATTTTCTAGTACGACCTGCCTGCTTCACTTAAGTCACTGCTTATTAAGGTCCGTCCAAAATTACCGTGGCCCACCCAAAAATGAAAACCTGGCGCAGCGCCTGTTGTAAACCTCTGCAAATTGTTGTTCTTCACTTTATCAAACTCAGACTTTGTACAGCTAATGTCAAGATGTAAAATTATTCAGTCGAGCTCTTCCGTCCCTCCCTCTCCTGCTCTCCTGGAAACCCGACAATCGGCTGTCAGAAGAGGGAGGTGAAGAAGGAGATGAGGCAAACAGAGTGAGTGTGACGTAAAGAAACCAGACTGGTGTGGAGGTGAGCAAAACAGCTGGAAAAGTGTGAGTGTTGAATGATCTCAATAAGAAAAGTGTGTGTGTTGCATCCCTCCCATCCCCCACGGGTGCGATGCCCATGCGAGCGACCGGTACGGGCTGCTGTCACCTGTTGTGAGCAGCTCTCTGCTGTCTGAGGGTAGGCCCCGCCCACAACGCTGCGGCTACTACGGTGTTTTCTTTACTGTGGGAAATAGGCAATAATGGCTCTTTGATGTGAACAGGTTGCCGACTCCTCGTATAAGATCTGAGCTGGTAAAACAAAAATCCTCATCAGCAGGCTTTTTTGAAAGTGTGTGTGTGGGGGTGGGGGGTGGGGCGGGGCACAGCTGCCAATCACAAATTTTGCCGGGGACATGTCCCCGGCGTCCCCGGTCAAAATGACGCCTATGCAGGCAGACAAGGCAAGTCAATTACTACGGAGGAGAATGTGGAGCAGAGAGGTCTACATGATGAAGAAGAGAGAACAGAGGTCTACACAAAGAAGAGGGAGAAGAACAGAGAGGTCAACATGATAAAGAGGAAGAGGAACAGAGAAGTGCAGATGAGAGGGCTGGTGAAAGACCTTATTCAAAAGATCCATCTGAATGGCCTTCACCACATGAAAATGGGGACACATTGAGGCAGTACATGGTTCAGAATGACCCACCAAAATGTCCTGGTGGGCCATATCCAAGATCAGAGAAGAGTAAACGGTGTTTTTCCAAGGCATACCGTTTTCGTTTACTGATGACGAGGAAACCAGGATCGGCGGCAGGTACTCGACAAACGTCAGAGCAGGTGCAGATCACGATCAGCTGGGTCACAGGCAGAGGCTTGGGTGCAGGGAAGCAGAAGAAGGAGCGGGGAGACCAGCCCTACCACCCCGGAGAATGTTGGTGTGCGTAGGGGTTTTTACTCCACCAAAACCCCAGGATCCGTGGCTTCCATTGGGAAAAAAACAGGACGGGGCTGAAAGCAGGAGAGGAGAATGGGTTCTACCACCCCGGGAAAAAATAGGATGCGCCAAAACCCCCTCCATAGGTCCGACCACCCCGGAAACAGGTAGGATGCGCCGAAACCCCTTGAGTCGGAATCTCCCTCCTTTAAATGGAGAAAAGGCAAAAAAAAAGTAATCCTCCAGGCAGATGTTTAGAGCTCACCACAGGTTCAGGTTGGTCGGATCATTCTGTCACGTTGAGGAGTGGGTGGCGGCGGACCGTGTGTGGAGGAGCTGACCAGGAGGCAAAAATGCAGGCTCGGATAAAGTAAAAATGGTTTTAATGGCAGAGCGGGAACGCCGGAACAAAACAATGCTGACAACAAACAATGATCCGACAAAGACTCAAACAAGACGGGAGGTATAAATACTCAGGGAAACAATCAGGAACACATGGGCAGATTAACAAGGGGCAGGTGAGAACAAAAAAGACTAATCAGGGGCAGGAGTCAGAGGGAGGTAGGAGCAGATCGTGACAGTTTTAGCTTAGCTAGCGCTGTAGCTAGCTGGGCTAAGGCTAATACGGGTCAGTCATGAACTTACCACTGGTTGCGGTGGTTCTGTGACGGATGCTGGTGCCGATCCATTTGTAAAAGATTGTATTGCTGTAAGAAAGGCTCGTCCTATGTTTTCAGCCAACACGTCGGACATGTTCAGAAGAATAGAACCGGAGATAAAACAAGTTCTGGTTCGGAGCAAGAGTTTATAAAGAGGTTAGCGAGATCCAGCTTTTATTTTGGTAACCAACTTCCACTTATTGGCAAGCGAATTTGCATATTGGCTAAATGTTTACGTACCAGCTAAATATTTATTTTCCACTGTGTTATTTAGCTCCACACTATATTTTATATTTCAGGGTCAGACTTAAATATTAATTTCCCAAATACTGATTTTGCAAACTAAATGTTTAGCTCCAAAATAAATATTTAGCTGGGATCTAAATATTCATTTCAGAAAATAAATATTTAATTTACAAATTAAATATTTAGTTCCAAAATAAATATTTAATTCGTAAATTAAATATTTAGTTAGTGAATTAAATGTTTATTTTACGAACTAAATATTTAGATCAGATCTAAATATTTAGGTTGCAAAATAAATATTTAACTGTAAATTAAATATTTAGCTTGCTAACTAAATATTTATTTGGAAACTTTAACATTTATAAATGTATGAATAACATGGTGAAAGTATGACTTCGAAAAAGTTAACTCCCAATTTTTTCTCTTATGATATGCTAAATAACCAAACATATTGCTGTTAGATTATTACTGTTTGACTTTACAAATGGCGCCCCATAGATTACACTTGTTCTTGGGGCTGGAGGTTCTAACAAATACCACTAGACACAGCCCAACAAAGAAAACTCCCAAGTCAAAAAAAAAGGTACTAAAGAAAAATCACAGCTTTTAATTAAAAGCTGGAAAACAGACTATATCTAACAGATCTCTGGTGACTTTTCAAATGAAATATTTACTTAAGCTGGTACGGGTTTCTAAGAGCTTCTATAAGCAAAAAGGCTCTCTGCAGCCAAGCAAAACGAGCCTTTTAAAGAACAGAGAATTATTAGTTTTCTGTCAAGGCAAAGATACCAGTATGAAGCGATTGGCACTAGATACTAGGAACCACTGACTCAGGCTTAAGTAGAATACCAGGCAGAGGCTTTCCTCTAACCACACGCATGTAATCACAACCGTATTCTACAAAGTCAGGGTGTCCAGAACGGAGCAGAAATGGAGACTACTCATGGGTTAGGAGTAGCTCCTCGGACGTGTATCCAACGTTCCTTTTATCCCCTCACGGGAACAAACACACTCAGTCCAAGATGAGCTGCAGGTGTGGCTGCAGCAATTCGGAGCGGGGTCTTCCCAATGACGTCATCGGAGAGAACGTCCGCAGCGAGGGAATCCCGGCACGTCTCCACAGCAACGGGGACGCCACCCTCCAGCAAAGTCTTGTAGCCATGTTGTCTGTCCGTCAACTTGTGTGTCCTTATCTGGTTAGAACTTAAATGTGCCATTTTAAACAAACACAATAATAAAAAAAAGAAAAACAGCACATTTACGGCCACACAATAGTGGGAAACGTAACGACGTCATCACGCAAACCAGATGACATCATGTCCTATGCAAATTAGCATGTGACCTCATCTGGCGACATCTAGCGACTTTTGGGGGGGGGGGGGGACTTCAGCTTTTTTCAGTCAAAAACAGTTGGCAACACTGGTTTCCTCTGTGGGGCCCTCTGCTTCGGGGGTGGTGGTCGACTGTGGCAGCCTGAGCGCTCCTAGGGTGTGCTTAGGTGGATGTGGGGGTTTCTGCCCTCCCTCCCTGGGCACCCTGGGTTCGTATATTTGACTCTTTCTGAATTAATACGAAGTGTGTTAATGGTCTCTGAATAAGTAAAAGAAACTAAAATCTTCTGTTTAAACATTTAAAGATCAATCACATTGATATTTCATATTTATATGGAATCATCACATCTTATTGATCATTTGGTATAAATGTAGACAGTCCTTAATGCTACACTTTATAAAGGAAACCGTTGGCATAACGAACTGAACTCAATTGGAAATGTTACTCTGTGAAGTGTCTTGAGGTTACTCTTGTTGTGATTTGGCTCTATATAAATAATCTGTATTGAAATGATTAAATGCACTAATAGAGTTTTTGTTTTAGGGACAGAGAAGAAAAGGGAAGAACAAAGTCTAACAAAATGTAATCCAATTACATGACAAAAACAATAATCCAGAACACCCCCACCACCAACCTTCCCTCCTTCATCGGCACAATAGGGCTTGGGATCACGTGTGATTACGCATAACATTCTGGGAAGTGCGCGGACATGTTGGAAGCTTGACGAGTGTAAACAAACCGTGAAACAAACAGTACTGTCGCAGAGAAGAAGCAGATTTTGGTGAAAGAAAGTGTTAAACAACATTATAAAATCCCCAAAAGGATGCAGAATAAACAAGGATATGTTATATAAAGACGTCAGGGACCAGTATGTGGACAAAATCAGCTTTAGAAATGGTTTTGATCCATATGAAAGACCCAAGACCGGAGCACTGATGACATTTTGTTGCCGCCGCAGTTCTGCATAGGGACATTTTCGGCTTTGTTGTTTGACGTGTGAGCGGATGTAAACGTCTGGATGAGAGGTAAACGTTTTATTTCTTGGTTTTTCTAGTGAAACAATCAAAATTGTCATCCTACAGAAGAAGTGTAGTCATGTTCACAAGCCCTATTTGCCCCCTTCGCCTGCCCCCTCATAAATGCCTGTGTAGAACCGGCCCTGGTTTTCAGATGAGCAGAACCACTTCAAGTGTCATCACTATCTAACCTCAATAATAAGGGGTTTCTTTGAGATTAGTTGGTTTAATCAACTAGTTTATTTAGTAATCTTCGCTAAATATTTTCTTGAAATAATATAAATTGAATGCTTTTATTGTGTCATTCAGTCTGCGTCATCACTTCCGCTCTGTGATGTTTATTGTGAAAAGCTACGGCCGTCCCCCGCGGTTAGCTGGAGCTTCGGTGCACAGACATGGCTGGTCGGGCTCGCGTCGTTCAGCTGCTCAGGCAGCTCGAGCGCGTTACGTAAGTTCGACTGATTGTTATCACGGTTCGGTTCGGACCGGAAACTGGTTTAGAGTCCAGAAATTCAGATTAACAGGGTTAAAGTCCGGTTCAATTAGGAAAATAGTTGACACGTTACCTACAACTCCGTGTGTGTGTGTGTGTGTGTGTGTGTGTGTGTGTGTGTGTGTGTGTGTGTGTGTGTGTGTGTGTGTGTGTGTGTGTGTGTGTGTGTGTGTGTGTGTGTGTGTGTGTGTGTGTGTGTGTGTGTGTGTGTGTGTACAGCTGCAGATGTCCTGCTCACTCCAACACCTTCTACCAAGGTAGGCTGGATTGTTGATCCCGAACCTTCCTCCTGAATCCCGTACCAGTCCGGGCTTCTGATTGGTCAGGTGTGTTTCTACAGGTGTTGGAGCACTGAGCAGTACTGACAGGAAGACGGAGTACGCTTTTGAGGCAAGGCAAACTTTGATTATTCCTTTATTTCACTGTGTGAAAGCCTCATTGAGACATCACATCTCATTAAGAGTGACCCATCCCAGGGAGGCAGCATGAGAACAATACAGGAATCACAGAGAATAGAAAACAGCTGTTAGACAATCTTTTGTGCGACAGGTTTGGGATCATTCATGGTGCTTAGACATTAGGGAGCGTGCGGTCGGGTACGGGACCCGAATTTGGTTTCACACCTGGGTCACATGAATTTTCCATTCTGAGGCTACTGTTTTTTCAGACCTCCTCCCCAGAGGTCCAACTGGGACTGAGGTCACACTATAGGCGCATTCCAACTGTATAGTTCTAGGAACTAAGTTCCTCCTTCTGAAGGTTATTCCAAGAAGCTGGAGCAAAAACTTAAAAAGCTCTTTGACTCAATTCTGGTGGTTCTAGGGATGGACATTTGGAGGGCAGCAGTAGAATGCAGACCAGGATGATTTTGACCATTAAAGGTGCTTACACATTAGCGTCGGCACGGTCGGGGTTTGGTGGGGCTGGATGGCGTGAGTTCGGTCTCCAACGGGTGTTGTAGTGTTCACATATAAATCTGAGGGACTTCTCAGAAATGCAGAAGTCCCAGAGCCTGTGGGCGGAGTTTAATACGTGCGGGAAAGTCCGCTTCATAAGGTAAACAAAGGCAGACATAAGCTGTGTTGCTTTTGAAGACTGAACCACATTATTTAATTAATTTGCTGTGTGTCCTCATCTTGTGCCACACACACACACACACACACACACACACACACACACACACACACACACACACACACACACACACACACACACACACACACACACACACACACACACACACACACACACACACACACACACAGAGAGAGAGAGCGAGCTATTGTCTTCTCACATTCCCACACTGATCGGCAGCTCCAGAACAGCAGCTCCGTGGTATAGACAGAACTTTACTCAACAGCATGAAGATGAATCAGGCATGCAGAACACCCCCCCCCCCCCCCCCCCCCCCTTGCTGGCTCATTCTTCTCGCAGATCGGAGGTGGTAGACGTAATTTCAGCCCGCCAATCAGTCCGTAGTGTTGCCTCAGTCCCAGTCTGACTGCTGGGGAGATGGTCTGAGAAAGAGTCGCCTCGGCACCGAAAATGCAAATCTAACCTGTGTGTGAAACCAAATTCTGGTGCCGTTCGGTACCTTTTGGCCCCATGCCGACGCTAATCTGTAAGCACCATTAGAAAACACACTCAGATAAGCTAAAGAGTCAGACCAAGAAGAACTGTTTAGACCGAAGACATCTGAGTTTACAGCTATGGCAAAGAGGCAGAAGCGTACAGAGCAGTCACCATAACCAGCGGTAAAACATAATGCACTGTGATACAATGGGTCCAGTTTCTTTTATCAGGTTCAGGTATGCACAATGAATCAGCATGCACAAAGGTAGAAAGGTTGGAGAAATGAAATGTTTCCGTTAGGGCTGCAGCCATCGGATATTAGTATTAAAAGATTCCGTCGAATCCTCTGTTGATTAATCGACGATTCATTTTACGATGTTTCAAGTGAAAAAATACCGTGGTCTGCTTATAAAAATATGAAAATAAAACTTAATTATAAAAAGCTCCATTATATGTATTAAATATTAACCCTAATCCTCTTTCTCATCTGATATCCAAGATGGATGAAATCCCACCATCTCCTCTCTAAAACTTGTCATTCCAGCGAAACCATCCATACGGCACAATATCTCAATCCAAAATGATTCCCTATCTCTGGCTCCTTCAAAGGCTGTTCAAAATTTGGGTGTTGTGATTAATGACCAGCTGACCTTTAAATATAACTTTACCTCTGTCGTTCGTTCATGCCGTTTCGTGCTGTATAACATACGAAAGATCAGACCGTACCTTACACAATATGCCACCCGGCTCCTGGTGCAATTTACTGTCGGTGCCTGCCTCGACTCCTGCAATGCCCTTCTAACTTTTCTTCCAGCGTGGACTGTGAGACCTCTTCAAATGGTCCAGAATGCAGCGGCGTGTCTGGTCTTCAATCAGTCTAAAAGAGCACATGTCACCCTAACCCTCCGTCACCGCCCTTTCGCTGAGCTCCATTGGCTACCGCTAGCTGCACGCATCAAATTCAAATTGCAAACAGTAGCATACAAAGTCCTGGGGCCTAATTTACCAAAGGTTTGTAGAAACATTCCTATATTCTGGCCTACCATACCATACCATACCATACCAATTTATTTATAAAGCACCATTTCAAAATTGCATGGCAGCTAATCAAAGTGCTGTGCATAAAAGAGCCAAATGCTCGAACATGTTAGCAAAACACAATGAAAGCATAAAAATCATGTAAAATCCATAAGAACATAGCATAGTCAAGGATAAAAATTCCTACTAAAAACAAAAGAAGAGAACAGTTAACAGCACTATCAAACATAAAAATAATGCGACGAATGATAAAACCCATTTGAAATGGCACAAATAAAACCAAAAAAGCTACAAGATGGTGTGAGGTGTTAAAAGTGAGCTTCTGAATTGTAAAAACTAAATTAAGAAAAATGGACCCGGTGCTGGGTTTTCATGTAAAAGTGTCACGGAGGGACAGCAATACTGAAGAAGTGTGTTTTAAGGGATGACTTGAAACTGCTGACAGAGGGAGCCAAACGCACATGTAGGGGCTGCATGAGCGAAGGCACGTTCCCCCCGTGATTTGTATCAAACTTCGGAACAACAAGCAGCAGATAATCTGCTGAACGAAGGACACGAGTGGGAACATACGGAGTCAGCAGGTCCATCAGATAGGATGGGGATGGGCAATGCAAAGCCTTGCGTACATATAACAAGACTTTGAAATGAATCCCAAATTTGACTGGGAGACAGTGTAAATCTGCAAGGATAGGTGTGATGTGCATGCGTCTGTCGGTGCAGGTTAAAAATCTGGCTGCAGCATTTTGAACCTTCTGCAGTCTGCTTAGGGCTGAAGCATTAATCCCAATCAGGACAGAATTTGCATAATCCAGACGTGAAGTAATGAAAGCATGAATGCCTGACTCAAGATGCGGGCGTTTGAGGATTGATTTAAGACGTGTGATGCGGTGGAGTTGGAAAAAGCAGGACTTGACAGTGGCGTTGACTTGTGAGGTCATTGAAAGGTCAGAGTCCGGTTTCACACCTAGGCTAGTGGTACATGGATTGAGATCGAGTGAGGGGAGAGTTGGGTCACCTAAAGCACCATTCGTGTTAGTGGGACTAAAAAGTATGACATCTGTTTTGCTGTCATTTAACCGTAGGCAGTTTTGAGAAAGCCAGGATTTGACCTGAGAGAGACATTCTGACAACAGAGAAAATGAGTGCTGTTGGCTGATATGAAGGTAGATCTGGTAGATCTACCAGACCTATGGCTGCACGTTATTAGGAAAACTTGCGATATTCGATAACAATGATTAATATTGTGATGGCGATATCACTTGCGATAAATAAAAACTTAACTCGGGAACAAAAATAATCAAAAACAAAGAAGTAAAAAAAAATCCTAAAAATGAGAAAAGCAAAAGATGTGAGGAAAGGGAAAAAGAAAATGAACAAGCAAAGGAGAATCAGCAAAAAGAGCAGAACAAAGCTAACTCAGGTGTTCGCTAACCATCAAAATTAGGTGCCGTCTGCCTCAGGGGTGGGCATCTAACCAAAGAGAACCCACCCAATTGGCCAAATGGGTGAAGAGCTCTGTTTGATTTGTTAACAAAACATCATGCATCCGTTTGACAGAATGCATTATGTGTAGCAAACATTTGAGCTGACCATTCATTGTCATATTTCTCTGTTTTTTGCGCAATGCATATTGTGCACACCAATATCGCAATAACAATATATTTACGATATATTGTGCAGCCCTAATATGACCAAAATTTAGAATGTCTGTACGAACAGTCAAAAGACTGATTTACGCACGTTCCTCTGCAATCATCTGATGATAAATCCCACCTGGGCGTACCCGGGCGCTCGTGTTCGTTTGTCGTCATTTACATACAGAAAAACCCTCAATTAACCATATTTGGTCACGCTATGTCCTCAGCACGTGAGGGGATTCCCTGTTTTTTTCTGGAAAAAGAAAAGAAAACTATTGACAGCAAGATCAAAACACTGGCTGCCGAAGCGCAAAAGAACCAAACAGGTTGCGGAGGTTATAAACGTGGTCAGGACAGAGGAGAGGTTCCTGTCAGCAATAAATAAAAAATTAATCTGATTAATCGTAGAATAACGGGTTGTTAAGGAGTCATTCTTTTTGTAGTTAGTTTTATTTGGAAATGTTGTCAGAGAGCGCAGGTGTAACGTTAACTCAGTGTAGCGTCGCGGCTGGTTTGTTGCACTCATAGACTATAATGGATTCTATTTGAAGCGGTGCTGTTTTGCTGCTGTTCCGCGCTGCAGTAGGGGTTAGACTGCCCACAATAAATGCCTGTAGACATCGAAACATGTCAGCAAAGGTAATAACAAGCTCCATTTACTCTGTGTACGATGAAGAACCACAAAAAATGAAGTCTGAGAAACCTTCTAGTTGCTCAGTCTTTTCAAGACCTAAAGGCTTTGAGAGGTCAATCAACATATTCATAAAATAAGTGAGAGTACCAATATCTTATCAGGATTATGTCACAGTCAGCTGACTTTAGAGGTTTCAGTTTAGTCTGAAGAGTTAAGGAGGCAGACTGATGCCTGCAGGGCTAGAGCTTGTTAGGTTTTGGTTGAGGTTCAAACAGGGATTCTTAAGGAGTTCTTTGGAAGAGAAAACACATTCAGCAAACTTCCTTTTCTTCTGTTTCTGTCAGATGGCGAGTTCCAACATACGATATGGAGCTGGAGTCAGTAGAGAGATCGTCATGGTAACCACATTCATCCTCCACCACTCTGTGCAGTCCTGTTCTTAATCTGAAAACACCTAAAGTGGTATGTGACAGGTGCTACAGTGAGCATCCAGATGAGTTTGGACTTCAGACAGGAAGTTAAACGGAACTCAAATTTAGTTTATTTTAAACCTTCCAAAGCCGTATATGATTAAATATTACTGTTGGCCAGTTTAGTCTTAAAATCTACTCTGGAACTGGCGGTGGTTTAACAAGCAGTCACTGACATCAATCACATTCTGGCTTGGTTTGTGGGAGCTCCTGAGGAGCTCTTCTCCAGAAAGACTAAACGGGAATCCTGTTCCTGCAGACAAATGTCCATGTTTGGGTTCTAGGCATTGTTTAAAGCAGGGGTATTCAGTTACAGGCCTGGAGGGCCGGTATCCAGCATGGTTTGTTTTTACTGTTTCAACACACCTGATTTCAATCAGCGTGGGATTAACAGGCTTCTGCAGAGCCCGATGAGCTGATAAACAGGTGATTCAAGCGTGTTGAATCAGAGAAACCACTAAAACATGCCGGATACCGGACCTCCAGGACCTGAATTGAATACCTCTGGTTTAAAGGTTCATATCATGTTAAACCTTTGAGAGCAAAGGTAGGCACAGTATATGTTGAAATATTACCTTTGGCACTATTGAGATGTAATTTATCAAAATTGTTATTTTATTTTTCTCAGGCTGAATTTGTGCCAGGAAATAAAAGGGTTTGTTTCAGTGAAACTCCGCCCATGGCTGCTCCGACAAAACGTGCCTACCACGTAGGGTTGGGCATCGAGCATCGATTGGAACCGGGACCACCTGTTAGTTTTTCCCGGGGTTGTTCAAAGTTTTTTATTTCAATTCCTAGTTTAGATTCCAAGAATGCTGACGGAAGAGGAATCCGCGGCTGATCTCCGTGAAAATTAAACGTGATCTGCAAATTGTGAACTATGCTTTTCAGAGCTGATCACACCAGCTGTCTGTGTGCAGCACCGAGTCGCCCCTCCCCCCACCCAGATATAAACAAACGTGTCTGCCAAACTTTTACTCTGTAATGTAAACTTTAACCCCTGCAGCGTAGAGGAAACGTGTTAAAATACATCAACACGGTGGATTTAATAGAAGCTTTAAAGAACTGACTCTGGACGGTGTTAGGCGAGTTTGTCTCACTGCAGAAATGAAGGCACACACGGAGCGTCAGCAGTCAGACGCAGCCGCTCACCAACACTTGTGTGTGTGTGTGTGTGTGTGTGTGTGTGTGTGTGTGTGTGTGTGTGTGTGTGTGTGTGTGTGTGTGTGTGTGTGTGTGTGTGTGTGTGTGTGTGTGTGTGTGTGTGTGTGTGTGTGTGTGTGTGTGTGTGTGTGTGTGTGTGTGTGTGTGTGTGTGTGTGTGTGTGTGTGTGTGTGTGTGTGTGTGTGTGTGTGTGTGTGTGTGTGTGTGTGTGTGTGTGTGTGTGTGTGTGTGTGTGTGTGTGTGTGTGTGTGTGTGTGTGTGTGTGTGTGTGTGTGTGTGTGTGTGTGTGTGAGAGCGTCAGAAAACTGAACAATAACCTGTAGAATAATCAAAGTCATCATGCTAGAGCAGCTTCTCTGTGGTGGACCACACCAGCTTCTGCCACAATAAATAATAATAATAATAAATCACACAAGGAGTTGTGAACATTTTCATTTCCTTGCTGAACTATTTCTGTTGAGAGTTTTAATGTTTAAAATCTGTTAGATTGTTACTGACAGCAGCTACATTTAAGTTTCACTTTCTGTTCTGACTGAATGCTGCTGCAGCATGGAGGTGTAGTCCTCAGTCATCCTGGACATGATCATCCTGAGAGTTTTAGCTGAAAACAGCTGGACGTTTCTGATATGTTGGAGACATTTAGCCTCTCATCCCAGAGGCTTCTTCCAGACGTTGGTTGTGGTCAGAAACAAACACACTGGTTGTGCTGCAAGTCTCTGTCTTTGTTTCTCCAAAACATGTTGTTGTCTAAATGAAGGTGATGTTGTTGTTCAGAGTTAGAATTCATGTTGAAGTTATGATTATTTCATCAAGTAAGACCTGTGGTTAGCTAGCTCATGTAAAACATGTCTTGAAAGAATTGGAATCATGAATCGTTAGGAACTGGAATCGAAACAAGGAATTGGAATTGGAATCGGAATCGTTCAAAATCAAACGATGCCCAACCCTACCTACCAGAGGGTCTTAGGTGAGTTAGTTGCTGCGGCTAAGATGATCCAGAGGTGAAGCAGTCTGCTTGCCAAGTCTTTTTTTCCAGGTACTCACATGGGTTTGACAGCAGTAATTTATGTAGCCAGCTGAAGAAAAATTCATAATTTTATATTTTAACAAGTTCAGCATTATCTACACTCATACACATTACAATAAGATACATATTAAGGTTAAAAACATTTTTTTATCTGAAGGAAGGCGTGGCTTTCTGAGGAATGTTTTGGCAAAGCCTTCCAGACATGGCACATTCTGATTTGCCAGAATGGCCGGGAATCATAACAAATTAGTTTAATAAAACAAGAATTACTTTGAGTAATTCCGTTTCTAGCGGAGTTCCGAATCGGCTCATTCGGAACAAGAATCCTTGAAACATGTCTTTTGACATACAGTCAATCTGTTTGCACGCTGCAAGCTGACACAGCCAGACGGCTCCCTAAGAGCCACATCCACTTTGGACGCAAACAAGTATTCCAGCTACTGTTGTGACCTGGAGACATCTCAAGACTGGACGGGTCATATCGAAGTTAATCTACTGGTTTCAGGTGCCGTGAGGTCCACCTGACTTCTGACAGTCCGGATCTGCTGGGGGTCTCCACCAGGGTTTGTAGACACAACAGATTGTGTCTGATGCGATTTTATTAATAATCAACTCTCTAGTTTATAGCAGACACCAAATACTTTTACACCCAGATTTCACAATTTCCTTCAGATACAAAGATTCTGATAAACATCTAGCTTACATCACACCACCTACACATCACACTCCATCACCGCATATCCACTCCACATCTCATTATTCATATCTTGTCATGTATAATCATTAGTTTAGAAAATAATAAAATTCCTTTTAACTATACACCTGACTCTATCTGAATTAATACGAAGTGTGTTTAAGGTCCCTGAACAAGTAAAAGTAACTATAATCTTCAGATTAAACATTCAAAGATCAATTAGATTGATGTTTCATATTTGTATGGAATCATCGCATCTTGTTGGTCATAATTTATTTGCAGTCGTCACGCCATAAAGTGTGACCGCAGCAACTGCCAACAAGGTCTAGTGCAGAGCTTTCTGTTTTGGAGGCCAGACAGATGGGGTGTTTGCGTCTGCATTTTTTAGATGTAAATTTGACCTTTGATACAGATCTTATGATCAATAAACCACATTTGTTTAAAATTTCTGTTCAATCAAATTTGTTCTTATTTTTATGAGATTTCCATGAGACTGGAGTGCATGAACAATCACTCATTTACATCCTCTCCACTCAAAAGAAATCCTGGAATGCTGAGAGTCCATATAAATAATCTAATATAGGTTGAAGCTGGATCTTTTTTGTGCCCCCCCTGGGTGTGTAAGTTGAGATATTCCTGGGGAGCCCATCATCCTTTTGGGGGAACCAGGTTTAATGTTTCTTGAATTAAGCACGACGTTTCATGTTCTTTACAAAATATGTTTATTTCTCTTCTTCACCAGCTGTCTGTCATTCACCTCATCAACACTCTCCTCTACCCTTAAATAGATAATCTAATACCGCCCCCTTGTGGGCAGAGCCATAACAGTTATCAGTACACCAGGCTCCCCCATAATTTAAACCCTTGTAACAAGTGTGTGCAGCACTGTGCTGTCAGAATGGAGGCAGAGATGAGTGCTGGCTCCGTTCTCTGCCAAGAAAAAAATAACCAAGTCAAATTTGCCTGAATATTAAATATAGTTCTTTCATTGTTGAATAGTATGGAATTGATTAAAGAATAATTAGAATTTAAAAAAACAACAAAATATTTCTTTAAAGTCAAAGTGAAAACACAGGCATCTATTCTGGGATCATATTTTTGTAAGTCTGACTCCAGAACAGTCTGTGCCTTCCCAATCATGAACCTCACTGCATGTCACTGCTAGACAACCAGTGGTTGAAGGACAGCATGCGGTTAAACATGTCGTCACTATTACGATCAAGCAGGGAACCAAAGAAAATAGCAGAGTCCAACATTTGGTGTGTTCTTGCTGTGTTGAAATTCTAATTCCATCTTTTAGTTCTTTTTAAAATGCAGGTTTTATTTACCTGCAACGTTTCGTTTGCGGCTGCAAACTTCCTCAGGCTGACGCTGATGGTGGCGTCACTTCCCTCTCCGTTTATCCGCGGGCAGCAGAGGACGTTGTCTCCCTCTGCTGCCCGCTCTCCCCTATCCGACGGTGCAGTCCCATGCGCGATACAACGTTTAAACTCCATCGTCTCTGTTCATGGTCCCACATCCACGTCTCCTTATCTCTATAGCTTCTTTTATCCATCTTTTGTATTTCTGTAGTTCGGTGTTTATGATCCTTGTGTTGTCCCAGTCCATTATATGGTTTTCTCTTATGCAGTGATCTGTTACGGCTGACTTCTTTATTGTGCTTTCTGCTTCTTGTTTTGCTGCTCTTGTGTGTTTTCGACTTGCCTCTTTCTCGCACTCCTTTCTATGTTCTATTGTTCGTGTGTTGAGTTGGCGTCCGGTTTCTCCTATGTAGGTTTTATTGCAGAGTTTGCATGGGATTTCGTAAACGACTCCACATTTAAGTCCAGCTGGTAACTTGTCTTTTGGGTGTACTAGTCTGTTTCTAACTGTTGTGTATGGTTTTGTTGGTGTGTTTATGTTGTGTTTTTTCATTGTTGCTCTTATGTTTTCTGTTATGCCTTTGATGTATGGTAGGGTTATCACTGGTGTCGGTTCTTGTCTTTCTGGGTTTCTGGTTCTTTGCTGTGGTTCTTCTTTGCTTTCTGTTTTTGTTTGTTGTTTATCGCCCATGTCGGGTATCCGCAGGTCTTTAAAGCGTGTTGTATGTGTTTGTCCTCTTGATCACGGTTTCTTTCTTGTTATTATGTTTGCTCGGTGATATAATGTTCTGATTACTGACATTTTGTGTATGGTAGGGTGTTCTGATGTCCATAATAACTATTGGTCTGTGTGTGTTGGTTTTCTATATGTGTTTATGTTTAGGGTCCCAAAAAACCATAGACATAGTAGTTAACAGAATCAGACAGCACAAGACTTTACACAAAAGAACAAACCTCACAGCGGACGACATAGCACAACTGATAGGACTGATAGCTAACTCCACTTACTTCACGTATGACAACACAAACAACTGGAAGGCTTCGCCATGGGCAACCCATTATCAACCACCCTGTACAAGATTTTCATGGAAGACCTGGAACAAAAAGCCATAGCCACTGCCCCGACAAACTGCAAAATAAAACTATGGAAACGCTACGTAGACGACATACTGGAAATCATACCAAAAGGACAAACAGAAACACTAACACAACACTTGTGTTGTGTTAGTGTTAGATATCAGCTGGACATAAATGTGGAGTCGTTTACGAAATCCCATGCAAACTCTGCAATAAAACATACATAGGAGAAACCGGACACCAACTCAACACACGAACAATAGAACATAGAAAGGAGTGCGAGAAAGAGGCAAGTCGAAAACACACAAGAGCAGCAAAACAAGAAGCAGAAAGTACAATAAAGAAGTCAGCCGTAACAGATCACTGTACAAGAGAAAACCATATAATGGACTGGGACAACACAAGGATCATAAACACCGAACAACAGAAATACAAAAGATGGATAAAAGAAGCTATCGAGATAAGGAGACGTGGATGTGGGACCATGAACAGGGATGATGGAGTTTTCTCGTTGGATCGCGCATGGGACTGCATCGTCGCATAGGGGAGAGCGGGCAGCAGAGGGCGACAGCGTCCTCTGCTGCCCGCGGATAAACGAAGGAAGTGACGCTACCATCAGCATCAGCCTGACGAAGTTTGCAGCCGCAAACGAAACGTTGCAGGTAAATAAAACCTTTCTGTGTTTTAAAAAGAACTAATAGATGGAATTAGAGTTCTACATTGTTTAGGCAAAATTACTCACAGTTGCAACGCTAAATAACAATCTTATTGTATTTATATTTGTTCTTAGCCAGCAGTTTCAGGTAGAGTTCAACGTCACCCACAGTTTAAAAATATTACAACACCTAAAATTATATTGAACCAATTCATTTAAAACATTCACAGAAGAAATTTGTCAGCTTTGAGAAGTTCGGATGCAAGAAACCAACATCAGCTGACTGAGGCAGACCACATTTAAGTGTTATTAACTGGTCTGTCTGTGTTGAGTGGAACACTAACATCGGGATCTCCCATCGTGTCCTGAATCTGTGGTTTGTCTTCAGGACCTGCAGAACCTTGGAGCTCAGAACGTCTGTCTGATGACAGACAGTAATGTGTCTTGCCTCCCTCCTGTCAAGGCTGTCCTGGAGTCTCTGTTAAAGAACAGAGTCAAGTTCCAGGTGTATGACTCTGTCCGGGTAGAGCCCACAGATGCTAGGTGAGATGGGCCATGTCCCTGCTCCAGAAAAAAACAGCCATGGTGGTCAGATGTGAACTCAGGTGAATGTCTCCTGTTGCAGCTTCAAACAAGCCATCTCATTCGCTAAGAGCAACACGTTTGATGTATTTGTGGCCATTGGTGGTGGATCAGTGATGGACACCTGTAAAGTGGCCAACCTGTACTCCTGCCACCCTGATGCTGACTTCCTAGACTTTGTTAACACTCCAATAGGAAAAGGCATTCCAGTGACCAAGCCACTGAAGCCACTCATTGCAGGTATGCCTACTGTTCTGCAGGCTCAGGGAGCTCACCAACCCATCTCACCTGCTTTGGGTTCCTCTTCCTAGTTCCTACGACTGCTGGTACTGGCAGCGAGACCACTGGAGTTGCCATCTTTGACTATGAACCTTTAAAAACCAAAACAGGTGAGAATAACTTTCTTTGATGTTTAACACTAAAAGCTTTAAGCATCCTGGGTCAAGAACTGGGTTGTACATTGTGAGAACATGACTTGTGAGCTTTGCTCTACCAGAAAGTCGTACAGTTTGAGATGGAGCTTAATGCCACGTGTGAAAAAAGCACACAGTGTACGCCCGGCTTTAATGGGAGGAGTTAGGTTCTAACCTGGGGGAAGATTGTATTGTTAAAAAGGGACTGAAAGACCGTATCAGTCATCAGTGGCAGTGTTTGTAAGTCCTTAGCTGTTCCTCAGGTCAGGCTGCAGTTTGGAGGGCTAGCTTGTTTGTGAATTCAAAAACCTTTACATATTGTAGGATAAAATATATTAAAACATATTTTGAATGTTTGTTTTGATAGACAGGAATGCTATGATGTCATCAGATTGAACTGTGATTGGTTGTTTGCTCAGGTATTGCCAGCCGAGCCATCAAACCCTCACTGGGCATTGTGGACCCGACCTACACACTGAGCATGCCTGAGCGGGTGGCGGCAAACACGGGCTTTGATGTACTTTGGTCTGTTATCTTTACCGGTTTTTATTTGAATTTTGGGGGGAATATTCTTGGTTTTGTTGTTTGTTTCATAAAAGTATTATATATCTGCTGCTGTTGCCATGGAAGTGTGGATGAAGTAAAGTTCAAATGGTTCTAAAGGGTTTTGTGTTTGTCAGTCATGCTTTGGAGTCGTACACTGCCCTGCCTTACAACCAAAGGGTGCCCTGCCCCACCAACCCCATCTACCGTCCCCCTTACCAGGGTAGCAACCCCATCAGTGATGTCTGGTCCCGCCACGCTCTCCACATAGTCGCTAAGTACATGAAACGGTATAGAAGAACCCTGACCCTTACCCTTAACTTGTTCTTCAGAACTGCCTCTGCTAGACCACTGATTGCATGTCACCGAGCTTCTGAGTTGGTTTTGATTGATCACAGAGCTGTGTGGGACCCAGAGGACCTGGAGGCTCGATCCAACATGCATCTGGCAAGTGTGTTTGCTGGGATCGGCTTTGGAAATGCAGGAGTCCATCTGTGGTGAGAAATCTTGGTTTCCTGTTAAAAGACATTCAAGACTCTTCAAGCTATTTATTTATCTGATTTTAAAACTACTGGTCAGAATGGATGAAACCAGCCCCCAGTTGGTGGTTAACAGTTAGATACCTTTCAACAGAGTTGTTTTAAAGCTGCAATGGCAAATGTACAGAACAAGCTAGCTTAAACACCACCACGCTCACGGAGCTCTCACTCCTCCAATCAGGTATTATCCCTATGCCACGTCCGCCTGATATCAGAATCTGCATTGCCACAGTAAACGGGACAGTGCTAAGCACCAGCCACTGTTTTCTAGGACCAAATGTCTTCTGTTATTTGTGGCTTCAAATGGTGTTTTTCTTTTTGGGGCTCTGGTAGTTTGTCCTAAAGTTGAAATGGTAGCAGCTGGCTGTTTCTTCTTCACTGATATTATTGAGCAAAGAATCTCTCTCACCAGTGGTGTTCTGTTGCAAGTGTGAATGAGTGGGGGACCAAGGTAAATGCAGAAGTGCTGTGATTTGGTTAGACAGACAACCAGATGGTCCAATCATTGGTTTTGGACCAAGCCATGTTATTGGTAGAGGTTTTTAGACAAGTGCAAGAAAACAACTTCTTTTTTTTATCGCCACAAAATTTTAGATGATAGGATAGCTTTATTTGTCATTGGTTATTGAACCAGCATCCTGATACAATGAAACATATTTTCAGTACAACCTGAACACGCAGCACATGAAACACTTAAACAAGAACTGACTGTGGGTATGCAGCCATTACGGGAATTTAGAAAGCCTTTAAGGAGTGACTGAGATGTTACAGCATGACAAATTCCTTCATTGAGTGTGGGAAATTTAGCAATTGTTCTCCCAACAGCATTAGAATTTTTCAATACACCAGTAATCCACCAGCTCCAAACAACAGGAACCTGGTTATTATGAATCCAATTATGTAAGTGTCTTCTTCATCCTCCACAGACCGCAGTGTCAGACACATTTTCTCCCACTCGCTCCAGGAATCCATTACATATTCAGCTGGGTGCGTTCCTTCATGGCGGGAAGGTGCTCCCTTTACCATACAAAGTGGAAAACATTTTATCAACTGCATTTAGAGACCAGCTAACCAGATCCATGGTGTAAAAAAGTACAGAGAAAAATGAAAAGAGGTGCTCCGGATCTAACGACAGGACGGAGAGCAGCAGGCAGACAGGGTTAGGAGGAGGTAAAGAAGAAAGCGTGAACTTTTCTCAAGAGCCGTAAGAATGTTTAGAGGCATGAAAAACTTTTTAAGCTAGCTTGTTTTGCAGTTGTTCCATTGTGGGGTTAATGGTAGAATGTTTCATATTTAACTTTCTATTTACACAAATATGTTTGTGTGTTTTTGTTCATTCAGTCATGGGATGTCATACCCCATAGCAGGAAATGTGAAGACTCACTCAGCCAGGGGCTACAACGTGGACCACCCTCTAGTGGTGAGTCTCCTCATTCTATGTATGTCAGGGGTGACCACTTACAGTTGGTCCAGAAAGTTCCACCACACTTTCAAAATCATTCTTCTAGACTTTAAATGATTTAACACTGTGGTTCTGAACTTGTTCTACCAAGAACCAGCTGAGACTATTCTAGTTGCTCCAAAAGGGTGAGATGAAGGCAACTGGAGTTCTTTGGTTTCTCTAGTCCAGTTACGTTCCTTAGCGGGTGGGTGGGGGTTGTGTGTGTGTGTGGTGGTGGTGGTGGTGGTGGGGGGGGGGAATGCACGCTTGGGACCGCTTTGCTGCCGCGGGGGTGGAGGCAGTGCTTAATTTGTAAATCACACGTTCCCGGAACACAAATACTACGTTTACATGCAGCCAATATCCGGGTTATGATCGGGTTAAGGTCAGTATTCGGGTTTCTGAGTTGATCAGAATAACCCGTTTACAAGTATAAATAGAAAGAGTTACCCCTAACTTGCATAACCCGATTTAAATGCGGACATTGGGGTAGCGTCAGGACGCATGGACTACGTCCAGACGCAATATGCGTCATTTCCGGTTCTTCTTGTTCTGGTATCCGTGAAAACAACAACATGTTTCCCAGTTCGGAAGAGATAGCGACCGCGTTTGTTTGCGCTTTAGTTTCCTCGTCACTCCAAAAGTGTGGTGCTGTGCCGCGACTCGCCATTTTGCTCCCAACTTGTTGTTTACTTCCTGTGTTCTGGCGCATACAAGCAAGAGCATCTGGCTGCAGACATCAGCTGGCGTCTTTGCCGTGACAGGAAATGACGTATCCGGAAAAACAAGTGTCATTACCTTTGCCGGAAGTAGTTTTTTTTTTCCGGGTCATTACCTTTGCCGGAAGTAGTTTTTTTTCTTGAATACGCTTTATTGACAAAGCACAAAAGTAGTTTGGATTTGTCAAAACCATACCGTGTCGTTTTTCTCTTCGATTTGTACACATTTAAGAGAAAAATTACACGGTGGGTCATTACCTTAACCAGAAGTCATTACTTTCACTGGAAGTAGTTTTTTAAAAAACAAAACTTACCGGAAAAAGCTTTTTATTTCGGATTTTTTTTTCTCTTCAGATCTGGACTGGCAAACTTAAGTAACGTTGTTACCTGCGTTGCATGAAAATTGAATATTAAATCCCTTTGTTCTTCAGACAGGGAATTTTTATGACAGTAGCACATACATACATACATATACATATATATATATACACACACACACACATATATGTATATATACACACACACAATAAAAGGCTGTAAAGTGAATTAAAAAAACATATGGATAAAATGAGAACACGTTAAACTAAGACTTTTCAAAATGTGCAAACAAAATAGTACTTGCTAAATATTCAGTTTTATTGTTAAGCCCAAGATGAACTTTTGACCTACACCAATTGCTAAAGTACAGGACTCCCAGAAGCAGTGAAAAACATTTCAGCGACACTCCTCTCTCACCAGCAACAAAAATTAGTTATTAAATATCCATAACACTGTCCTATTGTGTATCACAGCAGCTCATTGCAACAGAATTTAACTACTACAGCTGATAACTATTTAGCTAGTTGGTATTTATTTTGAGTGAAAGACAATAAAACCAAAGAAACACTTGATTTCACAACCATTTTATTTTGGGTACAAATGAATTTGCTGAAGCATGGCTTTCTCAGCTGCATATCGATTCATCCCCTCCCATTTTTCCAACACTTTTATTGTTACCTGAAAAACATGCAGGATTACTTCAACGTCGCCGTCTTCTTCCGCTTGTCCGGGTCCGGGTCGCGGGGGCAGCATCCCAACTAGGGAGCTCCAGACCGTCCTCTCCCCGGCCACCTCCACCAGCTCCTCTGGCAGGACCCCAAGGCGTTCCCGGACCAGATTGGAGATGTAACCTCTCCAACGTGTCCTGGGTCGACCCGGGGGCCTCCTGCCGGCAGGACATGACCGAAACACCTCCCCGGGGAGGCGTCCAGGAGGCATCCTGACCAGATGCCCAAACCACCTCAACTAACTCCTTTCGATCCAGAGGAGCAGCGGTTCTACTCCGAGTCCCTTCCGGATGTCCGAGCTCCTCACCCTATCTCTAAGGCTGAGCCCGGCCACCCTACGGAGGAAACTCATTTTGGCCGCTTGTATCCGCGATCTCGTTCTTTCGGTCATTACCCAAAGCTCATGACCATAGGTGAGGATTGGGACGTAGATCGACCGGTAAATTGAGAGCCTGGATTTCCGGCTCAGCTCCCTCTTTACCACGACAGATTAGTTCAGCGTCTGCATCACTGCAGACGCTGAACCATTCCGCCTGTCGATCTCCCAATCCCTCCTACCCTCACTCGTGAACAAGACCCCGAGATACTTAAACTCCTCCACTTGAGGTAGGACCTCTCCCCCGACCCGGAGTTGGCAAGCCACCCTTTTCCAGTCGAGAACCATGGATTTGGAGGTGCTGACCCTCATCCCAGCCGCTTCACACTCGGCCGCGAACCTACCCAGCAAGAGCTGAAGGTCAGAGCTGGGTGAAGCTAGGAGGACCACATCATCCGCAAAAAGCAGAGACGAGATTCTCCTGCCACCAAACTCTGTTAAGGATTACTTCATACACTGTCAAATGTTTTCGAAAAGTAACTTTTATACCAATCACTGCTGAAGACTGCGTTGTACCTCTGGAACAAGGACATCAAACACCAAGTCCAGAAACTGGAACTCTCTTCTTTATTAGTTTATCTATTCCTGAGCATGAACCAATCCGCTCCGTCAGCTCGTCAACCTATAAAACACATTAACATAATAATGAACAAAACGTTCCTCTCAGCATTAGACAACGGACCCAGGTGGCCCACTGACCATGCATCCACATAAATAAATGTGATGCAACTTATTGTAAGTCAGTATACATTTACCTGTGCATCAGCAAAGTGGAACATCAGTGGCTTTAGTCTTTGCTTTAATTTAAGCGAGACACCTGGATTGTGCCACAGATACATGAGGCCAGACTTCACTCTACCGCTGCAGAGATCCTTATACAAAGTCTGAGTAGAGACAAGAGTTAAAAATAAGCAACATTACCACAGATAACAAGAGATTGCATTATCCTATGTCCAATTTTAGAGTCTTAATTTATTATAATTAAACATTACCTTGACTTCACCATCTGAAATCACTGCCTGGGTTCCATTTTTCAAAGCCTCGATTGTCCTGTAATTTAGATAAAAATACATCTTATTAGCAAATGAAGAATACAAGCACATGTAAGGAGTTTTGTCAGTGTCACTTGAAGAAGTCCGATATTCATTTTAGATCTATATTTAAGGCCTGTAACTCCTGAATGATTTGCAGCTACATGTGCTTAAATCCGGTAATATTAATATAAACCAAACCCGATCAAAGCAGTCAGTCGACAAAAATATCTATTTTTTATAAGGTTAGGATTATTCTGAAACAGAATCAGAAGGAGGGCGGCATTAATTAGAGAAGCGGCTACTATTTCAAAGTTATTGTACCTGTTGCAGGACACCTGATTTGTGCAACCACAGTAGAATGACCCAGCACACCACACACAATAACTGAAAAATATTTAGAGATATTGAAAGCTAAGCTTGTCCAAAAAATACATTTTATTTCTGGGTGCACAGGACCAGTTCCAGTGTGGGCCAGATGCTGAAAAATAAATTCATAAATCTGTCTTTTTGAAGTTTCACAAATCAGAGGAAGGTTTCACAAATCACAAACTATGTTTTATGCATTCCTACGAGCCCAGAATAATCTAAAACAGGTTTGAAGAGTGTATGTATTGTAGGTTTTGAGCTAGAGCAGAATAAAAATGGTCAGAGTAGAGAAAAATTGGGTGTATTAGCCCTTTAGCCATTTCCCGAATAGCTAACTTTAGCCTCGTATGAAAACTAGTGATTGAAACCACTTACAAATCTCTGAAAATCTACGCTTTTTAATTAAAAAAGGGTATTAATAACGTTTCAGTCAAGTCAGTATTAGAAATCGTGGTCTTTATATCATATCTAAATTATATATAAAGTTAATATTATTACTTTAACTGTTTTAACAAACAGGGAGACCAGAAAAATCAAATAGCTAAGTTAAAGCTAAGCTACAATTGCTGATAGCTTTATTTATGTAGCTTTTGTGTTAGCTAGCTTGTGATCTCCCTGCATTCGTTTTAAGACTGCGTGTTAATATTGATACAATTAGCTATGAAACACGGTGCCTTTGCAATAATTCTCTGGTAAAGCTTTAAACGCTACAGTGCCTACATTTAAGAACTAAGAACGGTTGCAACAATTAGTTAATTTCATCCTTATTTTTCTTTCTTCATCTATCATCCTTATCCTTACCTTTCCTCAATTGAAATCCGCCGAGTATGGTTGAAACAAAAACAACGTAGCGGCCGCCAAAAAAAGACCAACTTCCTGCCGAGGTCTTTCGCTCGTCGATTTTCCGGTAAAAGTAATGACACGCCATCTTGCTCTCGACACACCAGCTGATGTCTGCAGCCAGGTCCTACTCCATACAAGACGTCTCGCTACTCAAAAGACCAAGATTCCTTGCGAACAGAGCATGCGCAGAACACATGCTTTGATGGGGATATCTCGATATGCGTTTACACGACCAAACATTCGGGTTAGAAAAGGGTTACCCCAGGTGTAGTAACCGGGTTTTTAAAAACCCGGTTATGAGCATATCCACGTTTTTGAGGTGTTTACATGGACCTGCGGAACCGGGTTGTTGTGAATATTCGGGTTTTAAAAGGGTTACTGGCTGCATGTAAACTCACTCTAGTCCAGTGCGACTTATATATGTTTTTTTCTTCTTCATTAAACATTTTATGGCTGGTGCGACTTGTACTCCGAAGCGACTTATGGTCTGGAAAATACGGTACAAGTTAAAGCCGGGCGTACACTGTGCGACTTTTTCACTCGTAGCACTCAGCTTCAGCTTACACTGCACGACTTCCTCGCAAGGCAGATCTCACGAGTCATGTGCTCACACTGCACGACCCAGTTCTCGCATGCGACCTGACTGCTCACACTGTATGTCTGGTAGCAACACGTCGGCCCTAAAAATATGCTAAAAATAGCAGTTTTTACTCAACACGTCAGACTTTTTTGTTGTGTTTTGCCTCTTGTCCTTCGGGAGTGCTGCAGGACACACAGGGATTTATGGGGGTTGGATGAGGAAAACGAAATAAAGTAAATCTGTGTTATGTGATCAGTTTAATTTGACATGAACACGACAAACACGCTTTCTTGACAATCTTTGTGAGTAAAAAAACGTGTAGAAACAAAAACGAACAACGTGTGTTATTAGGGAAATAGCAGGCGAGCGGCGTTGATGCAGGATTGCGCATGCGTCGTGAGCGGTTCTGATACATTTTGGGTCGCAGCTGCTCGCAGCGCCGCTTCAACAGTGCGATACCCTCACGAGGGACGATCGAAATATTAAACACGCCAGAAGTCCGTGCGACCTCACGACTGCTGATCGGTAGCTGGTCACGTGGTGTTAATCGCCTCTCGTAACCCCCTGTACACTACACGACCGCTCGGCGCAAAACTCGCCCCGATCTCGTGGATTCTCGCACGACTGGAAAATCGGCTCAAAAAAGTGAAAAAGTCGCACAGTGTACGCCCGGCTTAACTCACTTCAAGCTGTCTTGAGAAATTATACATAAACCAGTAGATTAAATGCATAAAAATGTATTGATTCTTGTCAGACTTTAACCTCAGTGCCTTTTCTCTGGTACAGCTGTCTGTTAACACACACACACGCACACACACACACACACTAGGGGTTGTATGAACTAGTCGACTTCACGGCTCTGTATTGACTTTTTATGCCTGTCATCGACTAGTCGCTGTCACGTGATAATGACTGACAAGATGCAGTCCTCGGAAAAGACAGCAGGTGATGAGCCCCTGCGCGTTGGGAGGCAACGCGCTGTGCCAGAGCGTCGGTACTGACACCGGTGGTAAAACGGACATTTAACCAAACTGTGACCTTTTCCCTCTTGCAATTTTACCTTCCCCTCACCCCCATCCTAATCTTAACCAGTTTGCGCATGCAAAGCTCTGATCGTTGACGCGCTCCAGACATCTGCGTCCTTAGCACCACCAAATCAGGTGTCGCCACCTCAAAAACAAATTAAACACGCAATTGTTCATGTCGGCTCATTTCCTTTAATATTTTCTGTCTTTTATTTGTGCCTGATGCGTTTCGCTGCTGCGGAGCGAGGCGCATCACCTGTTTTGTCCTCCGGTGACGCACCCCCAAAATTCCACTATCTCCGCTGCGCTCCGCTCCGGCACGAACTCCGCAGCAAAAACGGTCCCGTTGTAGTTGGCCGGCGAGCAGCGGCACTCCGCTGTTTTTGTGGTTGGTAGATCTTTTAGAACTGCAGTTCAAAGGTAACTCATAAGGTGAATATATATGAACCCAGGTAGCAGTTTTTCTTTAGGATTGAGAGGAGATGCAGGAAGATAATAAACAGGCAGGACAGAAAAATAGTCAAATAAAAACAAGTTAGTTTTTGTACCTGGTGGTTGCAACAAACAAACACCATTGAAGGTAATCAGAAGTGAGGAACAGAAAATGAAATTAGCAGGAACTCTGAGAGGCTGCAGGCGCACCAGTGAGTTTGCGGCTGCTGCGCAGGGGGAGGGGGGAGAGGGCTGAAATAGGATGCAGAAACTACCGTTGTTAAAAGAGATGTGTTAACTTAGAAAATGTGGGCGCAATTTTAATTGTCAAACTCCAGCAAACCTCCCCCCCCCCCCCCCCCCCCGTGCCGCTTCAGGTGTGTGATGTCATCAACGACTAGTCGAAGTCGACTCGATTTTCATTGCTTGACTGTCGACTTTAAAAAAAATTAAGTCATGCAACCCCTAGCACGCACACACACACACATACGCACACACACACACACACATACACACACACACACACACACATACACACACGGGGAGAAATTATGACACGTCTCTAACTAAAGTAAAAATTTCCATTGCAGATTGGAGACAACCCATAGAAGCACTGATTTGATCTCATTTCAGAGAAAAATAGAACAGGTTAGATGCACCTAATAAATAAAATCACTAACAGGAATCTGTTTCTTTGCTTCACTGTTCTGGTGCTGAGAATATCACTAATGCGGGTCAAAGGAGATACACAGATGAATGCACATCTTATTTATTATTTGGAAACTACATTTACTGCAGCTGGCAGAGATTTTTTCTATTGATACACGGAATTTACAGAATCATTTTAAATGTTAATAGGGGAAGACTGCAGGAGGGAGCGGTAAAATACAGGGGGTCCCCAGCAAAAACAAGAAACTACGAGTCTGATGAAACCTGCTGGTTTTCCATCAGGCAGTCACGGGACAGCTCCAACGACCCAGTGGCTGTGCTGGGTCAATGTTATCGAGCTCAGTCCGGCTCAGCCGTGAACGAGCCGAGGCGACGTCGTGCTCTGCTTAAGAAGAGGTGTTATTTTCCCGCTTCAGAAGAAGCGTCCAACGTGTTTTTATGCTTTCTCCGAGACATGTCACGTCGCTAAGTTGTTAGCGCCGCGCGCTAACACGTCAATAGTGCAATGTAGCCTGCTGGAGGTTTTAAGGGTTCAGATGAAACACCCGACCTCTCAGGCTGCTCACACATCGATCTTAAGTTGTCGCTGTTGCGCTCACGCCGTAATACAGTATTAGATGCGGTTAAAGTCAGACATGAAAAAAAAAATTACATGAATAAGTGATGCTTAGCCTGGTGGGGGGAGGAAACCCTGTCAAGATCGTCAACACTCATTTATCTTAATGCTATTGAAACATGTAAACCAAAAGGCATTATATCCACTGCTACCTTTCTAATTTTAAACTCAGTAACTTATGCTGTAACTGCACCTTGCCCTGCCTGCTCCTCCTTGCTGCCCGCCTGCTGTGATTACAAGCGACAACATAGTAGTTCCCGCTGCTTCTTCGGGAAACGGCGCCAACAAAAACAAAAAAACTTGGGATCTTGTAGGCGTGGCGGTGGGATTTCAGCCGTGGCGGGCCGCCACGGCTACGCCTATGTAAGAGAAACCCTGGTTTAAATAGACCTATATCACCAGTTTTTCTTATTCTAGAAGAGAAATAGACCTGCTGCACACAGCTGGGCAAAATAGGGCAGTTTTATTATATTTTGGAGTAGATTGAAGAGTGCTTTGCAGAAAAAGTCTGAAAATATGAACATTTATCCACCCTTGATTGAAGGAATATTAAGATATAAGATAAGATAAGATAAAACTTTATTAATCCCTTGGGTGAGTTCCTTCGGGAAATTCAGTTTCCAAAAAAAGCAGCGCAACACCGACAGAGGTTACAGAACGTCAGAAAATATTATATAATAATAAAAATAGAAATAAATATAAAAATACAATTGAATTGCACCTTCCGGATATCAACGTCCTTAGCACTGTTGACCATTAAACCAATTTAACTGTTTAACAAAGGTATGCAGTCAGTATGCAGCAAGCATTAAATTCATGAATGCAAGTAATGGAGAAACGTGGGTTTAGAGGTGCCGATCGCACCAAGAGGTGGAAGGGAATGAGGGACAAATTAGTTCCTGTTTAATAGTAATAGGATATTTGACTGTAATGATATCAGGATACCGCTGAACAGCGCTAAGCCCTCTGTTGTCCTGGCGGGGGATTGCTTTGCAACACTCTCCAGATGACGGACAAGTCCCAAAGTAAAATGTCTCTGTCAATGTGTGTGCGTCTCTCCCATGCAGAGCTAATGGACAAGTATACATTAGGCTTTAGTAACGTTGTTTATGCAGTTCAATGTAGTGTGGACTGTCCAGACCTTTACATCAGGGAAACTAAACAACAACCAGAGAAGAGCATGGCACAACACAGGAGAGCCACGTCTTCAGGTGAAGACTCTAGAGCCCATCTACACCTGAAGGACAGGGGACACACATTTAAAGATGACAAAGTACACATTCTGGACAGAGAAGATGAAATTTAAGTTAAAGTCCCAATTCAATTCAATTCATTTATTTCTATAGCGCCAAATCCGGACCAGAGTCATCTCAAGGATCTTCTCACAGTAAACGTTCCAATACAGGTCAGGTCATTAAGCCAATCAGTAAAAAGTTTCCTATATAAGTCGTCACACTGGTATGTGAAATTTGTTCTCCGTATTCGACCCATCCTCTGAGGGAGCGGTGAGCTGCAGACACGGCTGCACTCCGGAACTATTCGGTTGTTTAACCCCCCAATCTAACCCATAAATGTTGAGTGTCCAGCAGCGAGGCATTGGGTCCCTTTTTTGAAAGTCTTTGGTATGACCCCACAGTGGATTTGAACACACAGTCTGCCATTCTCAGGGCGGACACTAATACCACTACTCCACTGAGCTGGTGAGATGGATGGTTTGAGAGAGGAGTAAAGGAAGCTATCTATGTCAAATGGGAAAAACCTACATTAAATAGGAGCAAGGTAAAGAGAAACATTTTCTGTGTTTTAAAAAAGAACCAACAATGCAGTTAGAAAAGCTACACAGCAAGAACATACCAAAGATATTCATTTTAATGCTTAGCTGCCACTGAGTTCTGTTGATGCCATGTGTCAAGAGATTTTTTTATGTTTGGTAAACCTCAACTTTGTGTCTGTGCAGCCTCATGGACTCTCAGTTGTCCTCACGTCTCCAGCTGTCTTCTCCTTCATTGCACCAATGTGTCCGGAGCGCCACCTGGAGGCAGCAGAGATCCTCGGTACTTGAAACTGTCATATCATTGAACATATAATGGATGCACTAAACACACTTCATAAATAAACTGATGAGCATCAATGGCTGTTAGCGAACAAAACCAAAAGAATCTAAGACTAAAACTTCTTCAGATGGTTTCACACTAAAATCACGACTTTAGAGGTCTCACTTCACTCAGATCAACACCCGCTCAACCAGGTTAAAGGTGTGTAGCTACAAATGCCGCCCATTCACCTGGTCCCACTTACCTGTTTTATAGCAGTCACGCTTTATTTTTCTTTAACAAATCTGTAGTGGCCCTCCGTATGAATGAGTTGTTCTGGGGTTTCTGTTTCAGGGAGAACTGCAAAGAATTATTTCTAAGAGAGAAAAAATAAATAATTTTTTTGTCATTTTATCATATTTTTAGTCTAGGAATCCTATAACTAGTGCAATAATAACATTACAGATGTAAAACAGAACGCCACCGTAGGTCATTCATCCTCTCTGCAGTAAGAGCGTAGAACTCCTCAGTTTAAGCTGTAGTGGCATTATCCTGGTACACCGTAACACCAATGCAAAATTCAGTATGTGTTCAATACTCGATCAGTACCAGATTTACATAGTATGTCCGTGTCTTGCTGCATAGTGTTGGAACCCAAGTTTTTTCCTTTTTTATTTTTTAGTCGTCGAAGGTTACAATTCTAGACTACTTCCTATGTATGTATACACTCACCTAACGGATCATTAGGAACACCTTTTCAGCTTCTCCTTAATGCAATTATCTAATAAACCAATCACATGGCAGTTGCTTCAATACATTTAGGGGTGTGGTCCTGATCAAGACCATCTCCTGAACTCCAAACTGAAGGTTAGAATGGGAAAGAAAGGTGATTTAAGCTATTTTGAGCGCGGCATGGTTGTTGGTGCCAGATGGGCCGGTCTGAGTATTTCACAATCTGCTCAGTTTCTGGGATTTTCACCCACAACCATTTCTAGGGTTTACAAAGAATGGTGTGAAAAGGGTTAAAACATCCAGTATGCGGCAGTTCTGTGGGCCAAAATGCCTTGTTGATGCTAGAGGTCAGAGGAGAATGGGCCGACTGATTTAAGCTGATAGACGAGCAACTTTGACTGAAATAACCACTCGTTACAACTGAGGAATGCAGCAAAGCATTTGTGAAGCCACAACACGCACAACCTTGAGGCGGATGGGCTACAGCAGTAGAAGACCCCACCGGGTACCACTCATCTCCACTACAAATAGCAAAAATGTTGCCTGGTCTGATGAGTCTCGATTTCTGTTGAGACATTCAAATGGTAGTCAGATTTAGGCATAAACAGAATGAGAACATGGATCCATCATGCCTTATTACCACTGTGCAGGCTGGTGGTGGTGGTGTCATGGTGTGGGTGATGTTTTCCTGGCACACTTTAGTGCCAACTGGGCATGGTTTAAATGCCACGGGCTACCTGAGCATTGTTTCTGACCATTTCCATCCCTTCATGACCACCATGTACCCATCCTCTGATGGCTACTTCCAGCAGGATAATGCACCGTGTCATAAAGCTCCACAGTCACCAGATCTCAACCCGATAGAGCCTCTTTGGGATGTGGTGGAATGGGAGCTTCTTGCCCTGGATGTGCATCCCACACATCTCCCATCTACTGCAAGATGCTGTCCTATCATTATGAGCCAACGTTTCTAAAGATGCTTTCAGCACCTTGTTGCATTTAAAGATGTTTTGAGCACCTTGTTGAATCAATGCCACATAGAATTAAGGCAGTTCTGAAGGTCAAAGGGGAGTCAAACACTGTATTAGTGTGATGTTCCTGATAATCCTTTAGGTGTATATCCATGTGTCTTTGTTATTATTTTTCTTCAAATTATTACCTTAAGTGTTGGTGCTGTAACAAGTGAATTTCCCCACAGTGGAATCAATAAAGTCTATTCTATAATCTAATATTAAGATTATTTGCTAACTTTTACATTTCTAGCAAAGAAAATGTAACTTACCCCATTGGCAGATTTTTTTGTGATCAAAACAAGGAAATTTGGATCATATTTAAGAATACCTAGCTTATGTTAATCAATCAATCAGTCAACTTTTATTGGTATAGCGCTTTCCATTATCCTCAAGGGGCACCCAAAGCGCTGAACACAGCAAAAATAAAACACAGAAAACCAAACACCAATAAGACTAAGATGAAAAAAAAAAATCACTAATACCAACCAAAATAAAAAAAACTATTAAAATCACTTAAAACCAGTCATCGAACAGATTAGGGCAAAGCCAGATTGTAAAAATTAGTCTTCAGGCGACTCTTAAAAGCAGCCAAAGATGGAGAAACAGAAAATGCCCTATCCCCACATGTCCTAGACCTGGAGGGAGGAACAGTCAGCAGGAAGTGATCTGCAGAGTGCAATGATCTTGAGGGTACATGTCTTTTTAACAGATCCCCAAGGTATCGAGGGGCACTGCCCTGATAAACGGTCTCATTCCAGGTATTACACAAGTATTGAACACATACTGAATATATACTAAATATTGCATTGATGTTAATGTGTACCAGGACAATACCAGTATCAGTTAAACTGAGGAGTTCTACACTCTTACTGTAGAGGGGTTGAATGATCTACTGTAGCGTTCCGTTTTACATCGGGGAAGTCTCAGTCTCCATCTGAAGGTGCTGTCTATGGTCTCCACAGTGGAATGCAGTGGGTGGGAGGAGTTATCCAGCATGGAGGTCCTCTTCACCACCATCCTCCTTTCACACATCTTCTCAACTGAATCCAGTGGGCAATCCAGAACTGACCTAGCTTTGTTAACTAGCTTGTTCAGTCTCTTAGTCTCGGTCAGAGCTGCCTGCACCCCAACAGACCACAGCAGAGTGGACAACGAGCCAACCACAGAGTGATAAAATAATTTTAGCTGCTGGGAATTAACTCTGAAGGACCTCCGCCTCCTCAGGAGGTGGAGGTGACTTTGACCCTTTTTATACAGCATCTGTGTTGGACTTGTTCAGTTTGCTGTTGAGGTGAACACCCAGGTACTTAAAGGTATCCACCACCTATGTCTGCTCCTTGGATGTTTACTGGTGAGTGAGTAGTAGTAGTGATTCTCTGGAAGTCAATCACCATTTCCTTTGTTTTACTGGTGTTCAAGCAAAAATGGTTACACTCATACCAAGCCAGTCCAAGCCAACTATTTGTATAGCACCTTACAACTATCCTAGTGAACTAGACCAAATTCTTGCTTTGCAACTTTTGGTCTAGGAATGTTCCATTGGAACCTCAGCAGCTCCTACCAGGACTCTGGCTAGCCAATCACAGCTCTCTAGAGGGGTTTCAAACACATAAAGAGCTGTGATTGGTCCATAATGGTGGGCCAATCATAGTGCTCTATCTGCTTAGTGAACAAATCACAGAGCTTTATCTGCTTTGTGGGCCAATCAGGGCACTCTATATGCCTGGTGGGTGGGATGATGCAACAGAGTGAAACAAAGAGTATGTCACATTCATTGTCCAATGGAATGCGGAGATCATTTGAAAGACAACGGTAGAACCCGCCCCACAACCAAGAGCCGTCAATGGAGCGTGGCCAGACTAAATAATACATTTATTTAGTCTGGCTTGCCAGGCTACCTTACAACAGTATAAACTGACCAAAGTGTTTCACAGAAATAAAAAAGCATTACAAAATACACAACATTAAAAATGCATAACAACTATAGCTTAATAACTAACACTAAAAAGACTCATGCTGAGTTAAAAGCCAAATCATAAAAATACGTTTTCAAAAGATATTTAAGACCAGACAGAGAAGAGGCCAACCTAATGCTTAAAGGCAGCATATCCCAGAGCCTAGGGGCCGCTACAGAGAAAGCTTTGGGACTTCCAGGAGCATCCTATCAGCCAACCTCAGAGACTGTACAGGGGAGTAAAAAACCAGTAGCTCAGAAAATTATTTTTGACTGCAAGTCCTTGACCTTGGTGATCCTTCTTAATTGATAAAAACTAGATTTATTCACCACACTGATCTGCCTGGCCAAGACAAGATCTCCATCCAGTACAACACCCAGAGAAGTCACACTCAGTTTCAAGAATGGGGCAAGCTCCCTGAGGCCCACTGCGCCCACCCTAGACAAAATACTTGGACCCAACACTACAACTTCGGGCATTTTATCATTAAAAAGTAGGAAGTTAATGAACATCCATTGCCTAATGAGTACAGGTCAGTCATCATGGAGTTGTGGACTGGAGTTAATGGTGTCAAAGTATCATTTTTATCAAACTTTCAAAACGAAATTTCATTGTCGAGTTTAATTTGACGACAAAATGAACGTTTTCTTCTATTTAACTTTAAGTGAGTTGGCACTGTTAATCACCACATGTAGGCTAAGCTAGGAGCTAGTTTAGCTTACTGAAAATGACTTGTCTGAACTGCACCTTTAATAATAATACATTTTATTTGAGTGCCTTTCAAAAAACTCAAGGTACAATCAGGTTAAAAATAAAAAAATTAAAAATTAAAACATTCAATGACTTGAGAATTTAAAACTCAAATAAAACCAGATAAAACACTAATAAAAGTTACAGTGAATAAGCAATTATGAACTGATGAGTTTTGAGAATAGCCTGAAATTGGTGAAGGGTAGCCATGTTCCTAAGCTGAGCAGGTAATGATTTCCATAGGGAGGGTGCCGATCTGCTAAATGCTCGGTATCCCAACGTGAGAAGACGTGCTGGTGGATTAGTTAAGTTGATGGAAGAAGAGGACCTGAGCATGTGAGAGGCTTTAGTGACTTGTGAGAGCTGCGAGAGATAAGAGGGGGTGAGCTTATGAATGGCTTTATATGTAAGGACAAAAATGTTGTAGTGGACCCTCAGCTTTATTGGCAGCCAATGAAGCTGCTGAATAACAGGGGTGATGTGATCAGAATAGGGTGTTCTGGTGATTTTACGAGCAGTCTATTTTGAACCCGTTGAAGTTTATGTATTACCTTTTGGGGCAGACCAAAGAGACATATTAAACAAAGTATTCCATTAATTATGGATAATGTGACAGAAAAGCTTAATGACATTCTTATTTTCCGAAAGAAATAAAGTACAGTAGTTGGATTTACTTAAGCTAATGGTTCCCAAACCTTTTTCCCTGGGGACCCCCTTGCTTATGTTCAAGATTAGCCAGGCCCCCTCCCCCAACCCCAACACATCAAAAGTGATAAATTACAAACTTTAAACAGACATACAGAGTTACACCTCTTAGACAGAGTCATTATTATGTCATTGGGTGTGTTTTGGGGATTTTTTAAATGTAAGTTTTACAAATATAATCTTTCCAACCTCACAACCTCAGCACAGACAAAATTGTGGGGAGCCCCTTTGGGGGCTCACGGACCCCAGATTGGGAACCACTGCTTTAGGCTAAAGGCTATTTTTATTACATGCAAACAAAGGCAAAAGTTAAAGACAGAAGCTTTGTTCAAATAATAGGTGCTGTTAATGTAAATATAAACCAAATAGTGTTTGCTGCGAACATAACAGTTCACACTGATTATTATACATGTTGAAGAAATGTGGTTTTAAGCTTTGTGCTCAATATCTATCTTTTCTCTTCAGACCACCCCAGACACCACGGCCTACCAGAACCATCCAAACAATCAACAATAATGCAGAAGAGCTGCTGAGTTTTAAATAAAGCTTTAAATAAAGTTTTACTTCAATACAATGTCCTTGTAAGCAAGCGTCTGGCCTCAAAATGTAATGTCTTGTGAGGCCAGAAGCCTTGCTTACAAGGACATTGTCCTTCCTTGATCAAAGAAAACGGTTAAATGGAACAGACTTGCATCGGAAGCCGCGGTCACATAACGTCACTTGACACGGGAGCTAACGTTATATTTTATACCTATAGGTTTCAATATAAATGTATAACGAGATTTTTACTTTTAAAATTGTGTATATGTTTGTTAAATTAAATATGTAAGTGAATTACTACCCGCTAGCCACCAAAGCTGCAACTACTAAGAAACTAACCAACCATAGCTAACTTCTTTGGATATAAAACAAAACATTTCAGATATCAGCCCGATAGCTACAATTAGTTGATTTACATTCAAACTTAAATTTTTCCCCCAAAGTAGCGGCCGGCTTCTGATCCGCCATCATTTTTGAAAATACCGCCGTGTATTCTGGGAAATGTTTGACCAAATTTAAGCTACAAGACACCTCCAGTGTATCCTTGCTCAGCTAGCTAAACGGCTAAATAATGGAGAGCAGTAGAACATGAACAATGGAACACGTCTTGGCAGTTGCTGATGAACTATCTCCTAGGCAACCGGGTTGGGGCCAAGACAACAAGGCATTGAGAAACAGCCCAGGTCTGTGGCCATATTCAGGGGGTAGAAGCTAGCCAGAGTAGTAGGGGTGGGTGGAAAACAGCAACTCATTAATATTCATGATATGCCAGCATTTCTCCTCGGATAGGTTGACATCAACGCAGCTCTTCTTCTGCCTTTGTTAACTTTTTTTGGGGATTAAAAAAATTCAACCAATATTTTTTATCTCCACAAATAACAAAATCACCAACATGTTCTGCTGTCACTTTCCTGTGGGCGGTCCTAAGCCAAGGTAGGCAAGGTCTTTTTCACATCAGATATTTTATGTGGTGTGAAAGAGACTAGCCTTTTCCAACACAAGATCCAGAAGTCCTTAGGGGTATGGTAATGCTGTCACTGTGCTGTTTTCAGGTGCAGATGTTCGTCAGGTAAAAAGGCAGGATGCTGGCGCCATTCTGGCCGATACATTGCGTCAGTTCCTGTTTGAACTGCAGGTGGAGGACGGTCTTGGAGCTGTTGGTTACAGTAGAGATGACATTCCATCGCTGGTGAAGGGAACCCTCCCTCAGGTGAGACTCCTACCTGCAGCTTTAGGTGTTCCACAAGCTGTTGGTGTCATTTCTTCTGTTTTTGTGCAGGAGCGTGTCACTAAACTGTCTCCTCGTGAGCACTCTGAAGAAGACCTGAGCCAGCTGTTTGAAGCCTCCATGAAGCTTTACTGAGTGGTGCAGTTGGTCTGGGCTGCTACAAAGGGTCCAAATCAATCAACCCTAACCCTTTTGATCAGAATGGTACTGGTAAAATCTGAGAATGGCATTTGGATCAAAATCTGTTTGTAACACCAAATATGTCAGCAAGCTAGAAAAGTTCTGTGACGCTCTGTAAATAGAAAATGTTATGAAAATCAGGAAAACAGACTTTAGTTTGATTAAAAGTTTGGATTGTGACGTAAACCTGACCTCATGCCTGAAAACGACCAACAGAATAAAACCTGAGTGAAAGTTTGTGGAACTGGTCCAGAGTTCATGTAATCAGACATAAGACACCTCTCCCCACGGGGATGGGTCAGATGCAGAGATGTAATTTCAGCCGTGTGTGATCATGCCTAATGGGACTTTAACTTGACTTTTTAAAAAAGACAAAATTCTGAAAATATTCAATTTAAACATTATATTATGTACCTCTTTTTCTGTATAAGTATGTATATTTAACTACTGATTTGTCAATAGTTATTTAAATATATTTACTACTGATTTATCAAAAGTTATTTAAATATGTATTTTCCTTAGATGATCAAATCTATAAAACAAGACAATGTAATGACTTATCTACCATCTTGCAGATTTTCAATTGAGCAAAATAATCTCGAATAGACCAGGCCCTCTGATTTGGGCTGTTAGGTCCCTGTTTGACCAGTCAGACCTTGGCCCACATTGCCGGCAGTAAGTCGGGCTCATTCCCAGTGAGAGTTGGACTCCGCCAAGGCTGCCCTTTGTCACCGATTCTGTTCATAATTTAAATGGACAGGATTTCTAGGTGCAGCCAAGGTGTTAAGAGGAGCTGTTTTGGTGCCCTGAGGATCAGGTCTCTACTTTTTGCAGATGATGTGGTCCTGTTGGCTTCATCAGAACGTGATCTTCAGATTTCGTTGGAACGGTTTGCAGCCGAGTGTGGAGCAGCTGGGATGAGAATCAGCTCCTCTAAATCTGAGACCATGGTCTTGGGTTGGAAAAGGGTAAAATGCCTTCTCCAGGTCAGGGATGAGGTCCTGCCTCAAGTGGAGGAGTTTAAGTATCTCGGGTTCTTGCTCATCAGTGAGGGAAAGATGGAGCACAAGATCCACAGGCGGATTGGTGCTGCGTCTACAGTGATGTGGGCGTTGTACCGGTCTGTCGTGATGAAGAGAGAGCTGAGTCAGAAGGCGAAGCTCTCGATTTACTGGTGGAGCTACGTTCCTACCCTCACCTATGGTCATGAGCTTTTGGTAGTGACCGAAAGAACGAGATCATGGATACAAGCGGCTGAAATTAGTTTTCCCCAGCTGGGCTCTCCCTTAGAGATAGGGTGAGAAGCTCGGTCATCCGGGAGTGGCTCTGAGTAGATTCGCTGCTCCTCCACATCGAGAGGAGCCAGTTGAGGTGGCTCGGGCATCTGGTCAGGATGCCTCTTGGACGCCTCCCCGGTGAGGTTTTCCAGGCACATCCAACCGGGAGGAGGCCGAAAGGTTGATCCAGGACACGTTTGAAGGACTATGGGTGTTTCTCAATGCCAAGGAACCTTGCCTTGATGCCTAGGAGATATGTCATCGGGAGCCACCAAGACGCGTTTCAATGTTCATGTTCTACCGAGGTGTGTGTTCTCTGTTAGCCGTTTAGCTAGCTGAGCAAGGCTACACGGGTGGTGTCTTGTAGCCTAGCCTTGGTCAAATAACCCAGAATATGCCTCAGTGTTTTCAAAAGGACAGCGGATCAGAAGCCGGCAGCTACTTCAGGGACAATTTTCAAGTTTAAAAGTAAGTCAACAATTGAAAAATGTTTTCTTTAGATCAAAAGAAGTTATTTATTGTTGGTTAGTTGCTTAGTAGTTGCAGCTTCAGTGGCTAGCGGGAAGTAACTCACTTATATATTTAATTTAACAAACATGCACACAATTTAAAAAGTAAAAATCTTGTTTATATGTTAACTTTGAAACTTATATTTATAAAATATAATGTTATCTCCCATGTCACGTGACATGGCCGTCGGGGAAGTTGCGGTCACGTGATGCAAGTCTGTTCCATTTAACCGTTTTCTTTGACCAAGGAAGGACAGCGTCCTCGTAAGCAAGGGGCCTGGCCTCGCGAGACATCGTCTCACAAGGCCAGGCACCTTGACATTGAGAAACACCCTATGTCTCTTACCTGCCCAGGGAATGCCTTGGGATTTCCCCAGAGGAGCTGGCCCAAGTGGCTGGGGAGAGGGAAGTCTGGGCCTCTCGACTTAAGCTACTGCCCCCATGACCCGACTCCGGATAAGCGGATGAAAATGGATGGATGGACTCTCGAATATAGAGGGCTTTTCCTTTCATTTTTTTTCTGCCCCGCAGAGCTCCGTGCAATAGGAAACTGAGCGCCGGGGAGAACTAACCAATAGCAGACTACCGCTTACTTGCTTCAAATGTAAGGACTACCTTGGCTGATGCTGAGTTGATGAACTTTTCACGGACAAGTAAGTCACTAAAATATAAATATATGAGAACACAACATGACATGAGAATAATACTCATAAAACAACGTGATTTAGCTGTTTGGCGGCTACAGAAGCACATTCATAAACAGAAACGTGAAGTCGCCATCTTAAACAGAAGGAGTGTGATATGCTTGTCAGCCACTAGATGGTGTCATCAGATAAGAGAAATACTCCAGAAAGAGGGTTTAAGTACGTAACTCCTCATGTGTTCATTCATAGTTTTGGTGCCTTCAGTGAGAATCTTCTAATGTGAATGGTCATGAAGATAAAGACAACACTGAATAAAAAGGTGTGTGTAAACTTTTGGCCTGTACTGTAGATCCCTACGAACTCAAAAGAAACAAACGGAGCCCAGACGTTTCATTACTGCCAACAAATATATCACTGGAGTAGTACTACTTAAACCTATTTAAAATCAAGTAAAAGTAAAAATTTGACATCCAAAAAGTCCACTAACACAGGCGCTTGCACCAGGTTTTAATTTCTGGATGGGCCTTAATTAAACAAGTTATGAAGTTACAAGCAGACAGGTACAGAAACAATACCTACATTCAGAATTTGTGCTAGACATTTTTTTATTTTGACCAACAGTTTTAAAAATGGTCATGATTGTTTCCTTTCATCATTTTCATTTCTTAGATAATAATACAATTTCACAATTTAATTTTCATTAATATTTAATCTAAACAAGCTGACCAGCATGTCCAGTAACATATTAATGTTACAATTAAACAATTTCACTTAAAGTAGGAAGATTTCACCTGCCGCTTTGTGGTTCTGGTTCTGCTGCTGGGCTCCGTAGCTCACCTCATCAACACTCATCAATCATTCAAAGCTTTATTAATATACAGCACCTTCCACAACCCCTTTCAGGAGCACCGGGACGCTAGAACACATTGTAAAAAGACTTATAGTTGTAACGTAGTAATTATTGTATGTATTTGGGTGCTTTTAAAGCTTAATATACTACCCTACACTTTGACCATTGTGATGTGAATTTCCATATAAATATGGAAATCCAGTCTGATTGGTCTTTGAATGTTTAACCAGAAGATTTAGAATTCTTTGTTTATTCGGGGATTGTAGAACACTTTGTATTAATTCAAGAAGAGAGTCAAGTTTATAAAAAGCAAAAAAATTATTTTCCAAACAGTTAAAAACATGACAAGTTAACTATGACTACTGTGATGGATGGATCTAGGTGGATGAGATCAGGTGCGATGCAAGCTTTTCAAAAGTGTGGGAGATGTTGTCTGTGCCTAAAATAATTTCATGTTATTCATCTTGTTAGTTTAATTTCCATAATAGTGGAGCAGGTGTGAATTTTAGACGCGTCACGCACGTCTCCGTTTTAAACATGTTTAAACTGTTCAGAATACAAATCCAGGCTCTGTCTCAATAGATTGGTGTAACTAAAGTTTGTACTGAATGAAACTTTACATTAAACCGTGTTGAAAACAAAATGATCTGATTAAATCGTTTCCCCCTCATTTACAGTCAGGAAGTACAGCGCAGTGCGCATGGCTCTGGGGTTAATCAAGTTTAATTGTTTCTCTTTGCAACAATCTTCACAGGAAGGTAAAACAGTTAAATGACAGGTTACAGATATTTCCATTTGACTGTTTACTTTGACGGATAAACTCAAGGATGTTGGTTGTTTTGAAAGAACAAGAAACCCGGTCTCTGAGGGATGTGTCACCTGGAAAAATGTTCTCTGATTATGAAACTTTGGCTGAATAGCGCTTGTTCCCGTCTCTAATGGGCCATTCCCATCTGTACCGGGTCGGCTCGAGCCGGGTAGCCCCAGTCGGCCCCAGCCTGGCCCGGTTGATTCCACACATCCTTGCCTTAAGCCCATGTGGGCTGATTCTACCCACCAATCAGAGGCTTGCTTTAATGGAAGGTGTGAATTTGCTGTCAGCAGTGGGTGTGTTGGCCCTGGTCGGCCTGAAGCAGACCCCCTCGAGAAGAGGGCTGAGAATGAGCCTTGGTTGGCCCGGAAAAATACCAGGCCACCCAGATATGTAAAAAACCTACGTTACCCGGCCTGGGCCGACCCGGTACAGATGGGAATGGCCCATAATATGACGCATCCAGTCTGAGGCAGAATAGCCCCTTCAGCTCAGAAAGCACCTGTAGAGACATTTGATCACGCACAAAGTTTATGTGGAGCAGAAGCGGTCGGGCCACGGCAGGTGAAATGTTCCTAGCCTACATGAAGTTTAATTGTAACATTAATATGTTACTGGACACGCTGGTCTGGTTGGTTAGACCAGTGTTTGAAATGGAAAACACACACACACACATACCAATTAAAATAATGCTGACAGCATGGACTAGAAGACAGGCGATAGTTTACGTATTTAAATGATGATCAGGCTGCTGTAAAATGTAATCTCCATCCACATCCAGACACAATTATCCTCTATTCTTTCTCTATTTGCTCTGCTCTTGTCTGGGCTGATCAGCTGATGGTGCGCGCGGCGCGCCTAACTAGCGGCTGTGATGCACATTTTACACATTTGGAGAGGTGGGCCGGATGCTTTGCTTTTACTGGAAGATGGTCCACTTAACGCACGGGTGTAGACTACATATTAATGACAAATGAATGAAAATTAAATTGGGAGTTTTTACTTCATATTTTAGAAATAAAAATGACGGGGGAACACATTTATGACGTCTTTTTAAATGAAATTTTCTAGCGCGACCTGCCTGTTTCACTTAAGTCACTGCTTATTAAGGTCCGTCCAAAATTACCGTGGCCCACCCAAAAATGAAAACCTG